TATATTATATATATATAGTGCTGGGGAGCTAGACAGAAAGGCCCGGAGCTGGGACAGTTTGGGAGACCCAAGTGAAAGAAACGGGGAGGGAAGTTTGCTTGAAGCAGCTAACGTGCAGTGCAGCCTGAGGGTCATCGGCAAGGCCATCCGAGACTCGGGTCCAAAGTCAGCACAGGCTGGCCCTGTGTCTCCCCAGAGTGAGCCTACGCTAGCCTTCCTGCCATGTCCAGTGACAGCTGGGCGTGCCCCCTGGGAAAGATGGCCTAGAATGTAAACACAGAGATGCATCTCGCAGTACAACATCTGGAACCTTTGCTCAATCACCCTTCCGCGGATGGATGTCTGAGAGGCAGATTCTCGTCACAGCTACAGTGGTGATACTACGGGGAGGAAAAGCAAGGGAGGGAAATACAAATTCACATTCAGAATTGGACCTTTAACATGTCTGAGTGGGAAAAGAGAATGGGAATAAGGCCTGAAAGGCGGCGGGTGGGTAGAGAGGTCAGCCGGTAGGATGCTGTGGGAAAGAGTACAGCAGGAAAAGCGTGTGCAAAGCCTGTGGTGGACTGCAGCTCGCATGCGGTGGGAACAAGGCTAGTGTGGTTTGGGGGAAGGACGGAGGGAAGGGTACCAAGAGACGTGGCTGGAAATACAGCAGGTTCTAGCCCATGCGGGATCTTGTAGGCCATTACACACAGTTTGCCTTTCACCCTGTGGGGTGAGAAGCCACGAGGTGTCTTGAATAGGGGACTGTTTGCCAAGAACGGGGTCAGGAAGCCCGGGTAAGAAGCCATGGTGGCTTGGTCTAAAGTGGTAGCAATGAGGGCGGTGGGAACTGTTGGAAGTATGGATATAGCTTAATCTTCTTGGGAGAACCAATAGGATTTCCTGAGATTGGATGAAAGATTCGAGAGAAAGAGAAGATTCTAGATAACGCTATGACTCTCGACCTGAGCAAACAGAGGCTGCTGTCAGTTGAGAAAGGAAAGCTGGTGAGATAGTCTTTTTGTTTTCTGTTGTTGTCGGGTGAGGACAGACCAGGGGCTCGGTTTTCCGCAGGTCAGTTATCCACATGGAGATGTTAAATAGACAATTACATGTGGAGTTTGGAGTTTAGGAATGAAGCCTCAGGTTGATAAAATTTATTATATCTCTGGAAGTAGCTGGATCACAAAATATCTAGAACTATATTTCACAAAGGCACATAGTCTAGTGACCTGGTGTGTATTAAAAGTACATACTCATGACCAAATTCAGCCTTTGGAAAACAGAGATGCAATAAAGCCTTGTCTGCTTTCAAGTATCTTATTAAGCTAGTGTTACCAAATGTTTTGTTGCCTGCCAACTGGTGTAAAAGTAGATGGCAAGAGTTAGAAGTTATAATGCATGACCTGGAGTTACGGGGTACAAGAGATTCTTAATCGGTACCCTTTCTTTCAATGAGTTGCTTCTGGTTGGAGAGGTGAGACACGAACTTGAAGTAATTATTATTATTACCTTTTTACTTGAAGTAATTAAAGGACAAAAAGATGATTACATTCACTGTGGGGAGTTGGTACATGTATTCAACACATTTTAATTCCTCTTTGCATCCCTGGAAACATGTATTAATAAAAAAAGCAGAAATAGAAAAGCAAATCAGTTGTCATGCTACGCTCACAAAGCAAAGTGCTCACTGCTGCATGAGTGGAGGTGGGCAGAATGGCCCAGTGCAGAGGGGGAGCCTGTGGCACACACGCTGCAGAGCCTTCTCTGGTGCCACCTGAACCAAGTCACCCAGACCTTTTTTTTCTCCCGGTACCGGGAATCGAACTCAGGACCTTGCGCTTGCCAGGAAGGCACTTGTACCCCTGAGCTATATTCCCAGCCTGTGCTGCCCAGACCTTGAAAGTGGGCAGCTGAAATATTTTCCAAATTTAAAAAGGAATTTAGAAAATTCTACAACATTTTCAGAATCCAGAGTGCTAACCATTACCCTATGGAACCTACTCTACAACATTTTCAGACAATTGTACGACCATCAGGAAATCTACAAGGGATTTTCTAATACTGCAGCAGCTGCAAAGGAGAATTTGATTAAGAGATTTTTACAGTTCCGTAAGATGGAGTCAACTCTGCATTTTCTTACTTCTCCAGAAGAAGCCAAATTCAAAGAACTTGATCTTCCCTGCTTACATGGTGAGATTATGGAAATATGGAAGTGGAGCTATTGGAATTTCAAGAAAGCTCTATCTGGAAAAATAAATTCTATGACCTGTGTGCAACACTTGAGAGAGAGGACAGTGTGAATGGGTGACAAAGGACAGCACAGCTGTCAGTTCTGAAAGTGAAACCCTTAAAGTGTGGAATTCTCTGCCACATAATTTTAAGTCAATGAAAGCACTTGGGATTGCTTTTCTTACTTTCTTTGGATCATATTATGCTTATAAGCAGCTCTTTTCAGCTTTGAATTGTATCATATCTGATACAAGAAACAAACTAACAGATGACCTTAGTGCTGTGTGTGTTGCTTTGAAACTATTAAGTGTGAACCAAGGTTTGCGAATTATCAGGGGGAGTACAACAGCAAAGATCATGTTAGTTGTGCAAAAGCAGGCCAAATGCAAACTTTTAAATTTCAGTAAAAAGCTGTTTGGATCATTGAAAGCTCTGCTATTGTGCTTTTCTTGTTAAGATGAATGATGTCAATGTATGAGTTGCTTTTCCTAATGTAATCCCTCAGTATTCAGGTTTAATTGTAGTGCTGGCATTTTGTGATAAATCAGTGAGTTTTGGGTGGCAGTTTGGGCACTCAGTCTCTGAAGGGTTTGCCATCATTGGTATCGTGGTTTGGGGGTTATTGCTAGGAGAAAGAATATAATACAGGACACATATTTTATAAGATTATTTATAATAGTCAC